TTTTAGATATTGTAACTATGCAAGGAAAAAACTTGAAGTGGTTACCTGTTACAAATACCTTGGTATCTGGCTTGATGACTGTCTCTCTTTTAAACTGCATGCCAATAACCTGCTAAAAAAACTGAGGGTTAGGCTAGGTTTCTTCTACAGAAACAAGTCCTGTTTCTCACTTGAGGCCAGGAAAAGGCTAGTCACTGTGACCTTTTTACCTGTGCTGGACTATGGTGATCTGTTTTATATGAATGCACCGGCCAATTACCTGATCAAGTTAGATGCCGCCTATCACAGTGCACTGAGATTTGTGACAAACTGTAAAGCATTAACCCATCACTGTACCCTGTATGCAAGGGCAGGTTTGCTTTCACTAACTGCACGGCGGCTCAATCACTGGTATCTTCTTATTTACAAAGCAATGTTAGGGAAACTTCCATCCTACATCTGCTCCCTGATCTCACGGCGTATTGTAAATGGCTACTGCCTGAGATCGAATGCTGTGGTTGTATTAAATGTGCCAACTGCTAGGACTGTCTTAGGGAATACAGCTTTTAGATGCGCAGCTCCGCTAACTTGGAACAGTCTGCAAAAGGAATGGAAGTTGAGCAGTTTGGTTCCATTACATGTTTTTAAAGCAAGGATAGATGCTATCCAATCGGAAACTGTTGGTATCTGTAAATGTTACTAGCTATACAAACTGTAGTGAATGTAAATATGCCATATGATGTCCTCTTTGTTTTTCTGTCATGTTTGTATTCATGTTGGAACCTACTTGCAGCAGGTCACCATTGAAAAAGAGGTCAATGATCTCAATGGGTTTTCACCTGAATAAATAAAGGTTTTGAATTTAATTGAATTGACCTCACCTGTCAGGATCCCGCTTGCCACCTTTTCACTCCACTCAGGCAGAGCCTTCCCCTCCTCGTTCTCATCCTCCTCTGTGACCCCTGTTGCAGTCTCCTGAGGCGTAGCGATGGACACCTTCTGACTGAGATTAATGGTCTCTGCAGCTTCTTCTGGAGCCTGTTCACATAGGCACATTGGTTAGCTACTGCAAGGTGAAGACAATACGGGCTGAAATGAAGACCTAAATGCCACTTAAAAGTGCTACTTTGTGCAAGCTGTACACATTTTCGTCCAGAAGCTTGTCTCAAAGTTACCCCAAATTAACACAATAGCTCCTCTTAGTAGTATGTGCTTCTCGTTACAATGTGGCTTTTGTTTGCCACAGAGAAAAAAATCCTTTTAAAAGGTCTCTATTCAGTCAGGAAACAGTCTCCCTTTGTGCTCAAATTTAAGAAATTCTACTTGACCTAAAAACTGAAAACAACACAAAAGTGCCTACCCTCGGCCGACAGAGAATCAGGTCCATCAGAAAAGATGACTAGCCTGATTGCATACAACAGAAATGACCTTGTTTGGCTTCGATCCGAGCCAGCGTCTCTACCTCCATCATGGCTGAACTGGCACTTGTCTTTCAGCTGAAATTCTGAAGCTGTTCCAACTGCTGCTGATAAGAGCATTATAACTGATTAATTCTCCTCACCTGCCTTTCTCAAATCTCTGCAATGCTGAGGCAGGGCTAACTTGGAGATGTGTGCCAGCTCAGAAGTAAGCAGGAGCAAGAGTTTCATGCGAGGCAAAAAACAATAAAGCCTCAAAGCATGATGTAAGCAATGCATTAACTTCAATGTTTTTCATGGAAGGGAAAGATTAAATATCTGCAGTATTTGCAGAATGTGTCAGTGACGGCAGGAGGAGAGTGAAGGCTATTAAGTGACAGGCTAACTTGCTTCATTATGGCACACTATATATCATCCAGGACTTACAACTGCACTTCAATGCAGAGTTAATAAGCAAAAAGTGTCTGTATGTGTAAGGACAAATCTATGACCCACCTTACTTGGTAATGTTATTATTAAACAATATGACTGATATGTGAGATTGCAGCTTTCAAAGAATAGGAAGATACACCCACTGTCACATGCCTGTAACTACCAATAGTGGTTGAGCACTCGAACTTGAGGCTAATTTTCCTAAAATAGCTCTCTGTACCCCTCACTGGCACAAGAGGATTTGTGTAATTCTGTGGGGACTTGAAATACTTATGTGCACATGTTTTAATGTGTGTAAACAGTACAAACTCATTTCAGAGGATCATTTTCTCAGAGCATTTGGTCAGCATGAAAAAACATGGCAACTGGTGCCCTGTTATGTTATATATTCAGATGTATGTTCCCCAAAGAATATCAAATGTGTGTGCTGTTGAAAAACTGACTGCAAAGTCACACTGACCTGTACCCTGAGATCTGTCATCTGGGACAGCAGGTCCTGGAACAGCGCTCTGTGAGCCGCAGACAGCTCAGCGGACAGCACCACCCCGACATAATAACCTGGAGCCGGCGCCATCATGTCCGGAAACATAAACACACCAGTGTTACAGAGCAACACGGGGGAGTCCACGGCCATGAGAGGATACAGCCAGTCGCACACCTACCAGGAAGCGAAACAAAAAGGATATAAATGGGTGATTTTAGGATAAATAACTACATGTAATGAAGTCAAGAAGATGTGAATCAGACCAACACTTGAATTTATTTTTGAGAAACATGCCCCAATATATATTAAAAAAACTAAAATAATTGAATTAACATTCAAGACAAATGTAATAGAGGGATAAACCTTTGCAAAAATATCCTGCTTATGAGGACATATTATTCTCATTTCAGGTTTATATATTTGTATGTTGTGCCTTTACTGTGACATGTTTACATGCTTTAATGTTCAAAAAGTGCACTATTTTCCTCATACTGCCTGTGCTGAAGGACCTCGAGAACCCAGACTGCTCTGATTGGCTGGCCGGCTCTGTTGTGATTAGTCAACCGCCTACAGTTATCACATCCCCTAGCAAATCATATACAATGTGTTGGAGTGGTAGCCAATAGAAGAGCGGTTGATACATAGCAATGTAACTAAGGTTTTTGGGGGGATTTTAGCCTTTTAAGACCTTTTAAATGCACACAATCCCATATAATACCTTCAGGAAAGGGAAGTGCCCAAAAATCATAATACGGCCGTTTAAGTATAGGTTTGCAAAACCTTGAAAATGACATGCCTCACATGCCTAATGGTGATCCTAAGTAGTGCAAAACAGTGAACAGTAGGAGAGGAGACGCCAGAGGAAACACTCTCCCTCTGCATGTCTAATAGGATTATAAGGCATAACAGTGTAAGCAGGGTTTAGTTGATTTACTTGCACTGATGTCACTGAGGGAAATACCAACTGGGAAATTCCCCAATGAAGAGCCACATTTCAGTCTCATGATCCACTAGTGTATTGGTGGTTTTAAAACAGCAAAACGTTGACAATCAAATGTAAAGAAATCACACAAATGTGCTCAAGACTGGATAAGGTGGATGAAGTAAAAGCATTATTATTGACAGCAAATATTTGTTGTCAGTTTGTATAGGTTTTGCTATCTGCTTCTTCTTGTTTGTGTGGTTCTACAATCAGAGAGTTGCAAGGGTCTGTAAATGCAATGAAAACAATTGGCCACAGCAAATCATTTACATTAAAAATGTAATTTTTACTTTTTCAATACTTCAGTACAAAGGATGTATTGAATAATGTAAGTGATATATCGGTACACATATAAATCATTAGTCAAAACAGGGCTACATTTGATTGAATTATAAAAGGTATCTTTCGCAGATAAACCTACCCGCAGACTGTAATGTATAACTATTTTCTGGTATCAATGCATTTCAGGCACCATGCTTAAAAAAAAAAGGTCTGCTTCAGTGGCAATTGTGTTCCCTGAGCTGGTCTGTGCATAAGGTACGTTTTATTTATTTTATACTTTTAGCCAAATATATAAATATGCCACATCATTTATATATATTTTTAATGAAATAGTCACAAGATCATCAAAGTTGTTTGATGTGGAGGTTATTGTGGCCAAGTCTATACATGATGCGTTTTTTTTATGTGGAGGAAGTTGATTTCCAGTAGGTCATGAGTGAAGTACCAATTATGATCCTGATGCGAGATTTCCCAGGAGCATGAAACTGTATCCATAAATCAATTGAGCTTAGGGCACCAAGTAAACAACAATCACATGATAAAGTCGATGTAGTAGGTTAGAGATCATTAACCAGTCTCCTATTGCTGACTCACAGTCAGAGAGAGCTTGATGAGCCGAGCAAACGTTTTATCAAATCAGGTTAAAGGTCACGAGACAGACTGGTGACATGGCAGTGATGGCGTTTCAATCCTGCTTATTGCATCAGATGGTCATGAGGGCTGGCTTATCAAGTTATTTCAGGCTAAGTAACTACGTTTGTTTTAGTGTGAGTGTGTGTGGGGGGGTGAACTGATTTGACCTTACCTGCAGAAAAGCTGGTGGGCGGTTGGGCATTCTGTCGGATTGGTCACTGGTAAACTTCACCAGCCGCAGGTAGCCCGGGTAAGAGGGAGCGCTCACCTCACCTTCAGGCGTGACAAAGAATATCTGTACACCATGAGGGATGTACATCAGCTCCTCTCCCTCTTCACCCATACTTTGGGGAGATGGTGTTGAGTTAGACGTACGACTGTAGAACTCTTCCCCAACCAAAGACAACTCCCCCTCATCTGTGCCGTATGAGACAGACAGGTGGCCTTCAGCCGCCTCAGGAGAGTAAACTGGAGGCTTCTCCACTGGACCCACATGCTGTCTGGTGGGTGAGAGGGGGAGACCCTTACTGCTGCAGGCAGACACGCCTCCTACAGCCCCTGCTGCCTGGCTGCTAGCAGAAAGTGGATCTGGTTTGTTTTTGGAAGAAAGTTTTGGATAGAGACCTTCTTTAGACGTGTCTGCAACATCAGGGTCAGATCCACTGCTAGTATTCAGTGTAGGTGCAGATCCAAGGTCAGAGCTGGTCTCCAGAATGGCCAGTCGAGTGGTGATGTTGTCCAGCGTCTCCTGCATCTTTTGCTGCATCTGCCTGGCTGATTCCCAGGAGCTGCCATAACACTCGTCTCCCTGGGATGGCACACTGATGGCCCTGAGGAGGTGCTTTCTCCCCTGCTTGTAGAGCTCCAGGGCATGTGTCTTGTCCCCGGATTCATCTACAGACAGTCCTTTATTTATGCACTCAAAGGCCCTTTCATAGCCATCTTTGATCACTTGGAGTCTGGCACTGTCGAATGCAACTTGTTTAGCTTTCTCCATTCCCTCTGAAAACAAGTACAATTAGCTGGATGTATAACTAGCTGCATCCATCCACATGGGCTGACAGAACTCACGTAAAAACATGTAAAGCATAAGAGCAGATGTTTACCATACCTATAATTCAAAATATGTGCTTATACTTTAGGGTATTTCCATTCAAATTACTGCTTATCTTTGGCCACAGAGCTAAGAGCAGCCAATTGACAACCAGACGTCATTTTATAATTTGAAACATGTAATGAATACTCATTATAATCAACGTTACCTGATCCCCTTAGATGCGTCATCTGTTGTAAAAGAGGTCTCTAAAGTAAGGCTAAGTTGCCGACACACAAACAACAGCTGACGCCATAATATGATTGTAACAAGAGAAACATAAACAAATAACTGTGATGTCCGATAAAATAACTCGTTAAATTATTGTTAGTAAAAGCTCATTCATGGGCTAACGGTGTCCATAGTCAACTTACCCCGGTAAGTGAAAAACTCAGAAGAACAGCTTGGTTAGCTTGAAGCTAACGTTACGTAGTTGTCAAAAACGATGCCTCTAGCCACCGAATAACGTTGACTTCTGCCTCTGTCTTAACGTAAAGTTTTGGACGTGACGACGGACCTTTTCAACTCCACTTAATGTAGAGAAGGGATGTTTCACAGACTTCTCTCTATACTGTTGAAAAAGCCAAAGTATCGTGACAGGATGTATCGCTTTGCTTCAACACGAAAACATCACATGGAACATGATGTGCCTTAAAACGTGTCTGTAATTTTAGTTTTATTGTGAAAGTATTCACCGGAAGTTATATATTATTATCATGGTGGCATCGACGTTGGTTTTACTAAACACGCGTTCGTTTAAAGGTCCCATGTCATGGCCATTTCTACTGATCACAATTCCATTGTTGAGGTATACTAAAATATATTTATATTGTGCAATTTTCCAAAATCACATTGTTTTCTCATACAGCATCTCTGTATAGTAGGCTATGTGTATTCACCATGGTATTCACTCTATGTCCTAAACGGCTTGTTGGAGCTCCCGTCTGTGAGTGTTTACTGCCATCTACAGGCCACACTGAAGAACTGCTTCTACTATAATAAACTGTAAATAAACATCAATGCTTTCAAAATAACAGTACAAAACGGAAGCATTTAGAAACGACATCCAGACATATCAATTCGTATATTTAACACAAACTATTTACAGCAGATGCATGTAAAAAAAAAACAGTACGGGAACTCTTGAAGTGCACCAGTGTTTGCGAACGTATGACAAAACACAACATTTCTGTGAAATTTAAAATAACTGAAGTGACCAGGAATGAATTGTGTTGAGCTTTCCCCCTTATCTAACCTTGAACATATTAATGAATTATTAAAAAGTAAAATTGTTTACATTCATAACTACCAACCCCTCTAACATTTTATTTTTTTAGTCCTGCGAAAAGTTTTAACCTCATAGATGTTCACTTACAGATATATAACTGTGTTTATTGAACTACTTTGATAGGCTTTATAAGATTAACTGAGATAGCACTAACAAATATCTCATACTTCTATACATCAGCCGTATTAACACTACCTTGCGTTCAAAGGCGAATGAGGAAGAGGAGCTCCTTCTGGTCGATGAAGTTTAGCATCACAGTCAGTCAGGTTTCAGTTGATGTGTGTTTGTACATATGTACATACCTGAGTGAAGAAGAAGATGAAAACAATGAAGCAGCAGAAACACATTTTATTCAGTCTAGTCATATTATTATTACACTGTTATGTTTCTGCACTGAAGCATGATACTTACATGTGTGTCTTTGATCCTTGCCTTACACTGAGGTCTCCACGTGGCAACAGGATATAGGTTTACTGACAGAGGTTGAGGCTTGAGAACCTGTGAGGAGTTGAAGGAAAAGCTAAATAAATGTTTTGGATGAATGAAAACCTAAGAGATGGATTTCTAAGTGATTTGGAAAATGTGTTTAATATCTATGTGTTGCCACAACTCCATGGTAGATGCGCTGGAACTCTTCTACTGAGCGGTTGTGTATGTTGACAGGTGCGTCGTGGTGCAGTGGAGCAGTGGAGGTCTGGGGGCCACAGTAGCAACAGGTGGCAGGTTAGCATGTTTGGAAGGAGGGGCCCTGGAGGTCTGCTTCCTTTTCTTGGGAAGGTCTGCAGCAGCAGAAGGGTGCCGGTGCTTTTGGGTTAAAGTTGGCACCTGGAGATTGACAGCAACACACAAGAGAGAGTAAGGATCCAGTAAAGATCTCACTGAACAACATACTTTTATACTCTCAAAGGAGGAACATATACATCAGACACTCTGCAGAGGATTGCTTGGTCAAAATAAAAGGATCTTGCGGATTACATTCTGTCCAATTTAATTAATGTGTTCTTCCCTGCAGCCTGTATACCGTCTGCAGCCTGCAGGCCTCCTGGCTCCCTCTGCCTGGCGTAAGGAGACTCTCCTTCCTGTCTGGAGGACGGGAACATCACATTGCAACAACACACACTCATGTTAGGATTTACAAGTGCATTAAAACAGGATAGACCTTTTACATTGCAGACTTTTTGGTTTGTCATAGTAGTAAAAATGTGCTGGACTTTTACCTGGAAGCCTTATGTTAACAATATTAATGTATGAAATGTAAGCACAATATTGAAAGACTAAAAGTACAAAAACCTCTTTAAGAAAGGTAACAGGTAACACACCCCCTTATGGCCCTCATATTAGTGAATATTGTGATTCTTATATTGTACATCATATTTACATTTCATCTTAAATATTGCAAATATTTTCACAAACTACACAAATATTGTCAAATATCTAAAACGGTATTGTTAACAATGCAGTGGCCTAATTCCAATTTGATCAATTCTTGCAATTTATTTTAATGAATAGATTCATTGAGTCAGTTCAATACTTTACCTCCTGAGTCTAATGCTAACAGTGTTCAAAGGTCTCCTATCATGGAAAATTCACTTTTTGATGTCTTTTATACATAATTGTGTCCCCGGTGTGTCAGGGAGCTCAAAAAGTGTCAGAAAATAAAACCCTCTCTCTTTTCCCCCGTACCCAAATCTCTAAAAACGGGTGTACAACGGAGCTGATCCAGATTTACGTCCGATATGACGTAATATCGGAAATGTGGGCTGGCTTTACACCCAAGGCCCGATCAGAAACGTCACTATCAAAAACAATATGTGACATGTTTTGGACGTAATATGGTCTTTGTTTACATTAGCAAAGATCGCTAACACTCAGAGCTAACCTGTACTGGAGAGAGTAGCCTATGTGTAAAAAAGCAGCAAATAAAAAAAGGAACTCACCTTGTGGTAAACCCGCAAGAGAAAAAGCATTTGAGCTCCATACTGTTTCAGAAATAATCCTTGATGTGGTTTGGAACATGAAATGGCGTTTAATCATGGCATTATTTAGCTGCATCTGAGCAGAGCAAACACTCATCTCTCTGGAGCTCACAGTGTGCCTGCGTGCTCCAAAGGGGGCGGGGCCAGCAGCTACTGACCCAGAATCAGCACTTCCCTAACAGGGTTGAAACAGAGGGATATGTCTAAAATGCATTATCTGTTGGGTATTTTGAGCAAAACACATCATAGACATGTTTTTTTATATATTTGTATATATCTGAGGACCGTAATGCCTAAAAATAGCATAGGCCTAATAGGAGACCTTTAATGCACTGTAAAAACTGTTGCTTTGGTAAAACTTTAAAAAAATGTTCCAAGCAATTTTAAGAGTTTAGTCAACTTTTGCATTTTTTTAGTTGGTGAAACTTACTTTTTTAAGTCTTAATCTACTCAAGAATGTGTTACTTTGCTAAAACTTAAAAAAATATGTGTCAAGTGGTTCCAAGCAATTATAGGAGTTGGGTAAACTCACTATTGTGATTTTTTCTGCATGTGAAAAGATGAGATGAGCCTACAATTAAAAGCCAACATATTAAGTGTAACCAATGCAAATAACAATATGCTAAGAACCACAAAAGACAAGAGTAAATAAATAAATTATAAAACTCAATTGAGTTGCCAGAACCTACGTATATGACAAACTCTTCCTGATTTCAATCCAACCCTTTGAATATTTGATAGCATTTAAACATTGCAGATTAAACAAATAGATTTAAAAAAGAGAATGTTATGGAAATGTTAATACATTTTATTAACATAAGCAGCAGAAAGTGCTTTCAAACGGTTTTCATAAAACAGTAACATGTTTAGAAGCACAACACATATATAACATTAACGTAACACTGAGACAGGAGAAAGTCTTAACATTTGTGTTAACAACTTACAGTTACTCTTAAGGTAAGTGCTGCTAATGACCTACAAAAAGTTAGAACTTATACTTAAACAGTATTTTCTGTTTGTTAAGGCACCTATAAAAACAGACACAGTTGACAAAATCCTGGCTTTTAAGAACAATGTTTGTCATGTCTTAACTAATGTTTTTTAATCTTAAGAACATTTGTATTTATGTTCACACTGAGGCAAACATAAGGTGATAGGTGATGTGTTTTCCTCAACAACAAAAAAATCTGTCTTGAAGTCACAACGAGTACAGCGAGTTTACATTAGCTGGTAACAGAGGTGCAATTCACGTGCATTACAAGGGGTTTAAGACTTTACAAAAAAGACTGTTTTGCAAGAATTTACCACATAGTCATGATGACATAGTTCATAAAATGTCAAACTACCTATTTTTAACCTCACCTCATGCTCAGAGATTAGCTCCTCTCCACGTTCTCCCATATATTCAATGAGGCATCTCAAGGTCACCTCTCTCTTTTTACAGACAGTAGCACATGGGTCCTAGAATAAATAAGAACAGTTGATTATTTCAACCAATCTTTAACGATTTATTTTTAATTATCTTGTGTTTATGTGACAGCTTAATTCGGATATATATGTTAATTAAGAAGATCCCTGATGTTAAGTTGACCAGAATGTTTATTTCCACTGTGTACAACATGTAAGAAGCAACCCCACAATACATTTTTTATTTGCATCTAATGTTGTTCTTTATTATTTCTAATGTCACACATGTACATGTTATGATATTGTGTTCTTGCTAAGCAGTATTTTATTTGGAAATGCTGTTGTTAGTCTTCGCCATAAGGTTGCGTCAAGAGAGAAGAAGAAGCATAAGAAGAAGAATTCTTCTTCTGTGGTTGTAAATAAGTACGGAGTTAGGCTAGTAAGTTGAATTAAGTGTACCTGCAGCAGAGCAATGTAGGCAAGAGAATACGTGTATGATCAAAGTTGTACTCGTAGAACAAAAAAGTTGTGACGAGTGAAGAAAGACAACTGGTGACCGCCTAATCTGTGGCTGCAACACTTACAAATAACCATCTAATAGAGAAATATTTGTATATACATACAACTGGTATATTATCTCAATATAATGTATTAATATTATTCTGGTATCATGTAAGCATGTAAATGTAGAATAGAATGGGAGGGATGAAACCCTCTTTAATGGTCACACATGCAGCACACAGTGAAATTTGGCCTCTGCTTTTAACCCATCCTAGTACCAGGAGTCTATGCCAGGAGCAGTGGGCAGCTATTGTACAGCGCCCAGGGAGCAATGGGAGTGGGGGGGGATGTCCGGTGCCTTGCTCAAGGGCACCACGGCAGGGGCCAGGAGGTGAACTGGGACCTCTCCAAGTAGCAGTCACACTCCATATTTAGGTCTGGTCAGGGATTTGAACC